CAACTGGTACAGAATTTGTCACCAAAAAAAGAAAAAAGAAAGAAAGAAAAAAGCAAAGGTGGCCAATTTCTTATTTTAAGTTTTTTAAGTGGCAGCCCTTCTGGGCTATTAAGTGCAAGAAAAGAGCACTTGGATTGTAAACCCATGATGTAGAACGGAAACTAAGCCACAACTGCAAATAATCCATATGGTAGCACAGTCCTAAGTATGTTTACTCAGACTCACAGTTCATCGGTGCTTACTCATTAGGATGTGTGTTCAGGTTTAAAGCCTGAGTCAGCAGAACTTTATCATATAAGCAATGATAACGCCTTCCAACAATTCCCTGGCTTATTTCCACTAGTAAGTTAGCTAATAAGAAGGGTTTTAAGAATTCAATATGAAGTATTCTGGAGGTTTTATTGTAAAGTCTTCTAAAGACTTGATTAACCTGAAACAGAAGCATATAAATTTGAAAAAAGAAAAAAACCCAAGTGTGTTCCTCTTCTAGTTTTGTTTTTAAAAGGTAATTTCAGACATTTTAATATGACCAAGAACTATCCAAGGCACAGACATTAAGCAAAGGAAGAACAAAATGGCATTTAGATGTGAGGCAAGCAGTGTAATCAGCCCACTGATCCACTGTATGGCTACTGATGAACTCTTTGCTAAAAGTCTGTCATTATCATAACAAATCTTCCAATAGTAATACAATCCAATTAATTTAAAAGCCAATATATACAGGCCCATAACTTCTACCCACTGCCTTCCCTAGCCTGAGCTCTCTTTGAGTCACAATCCACTGCTCAGTAGAGTCATGTTTTGCTCTCCTTCAAATATTTCAAACCTCTGGATGCTCCAGAAATCTGTAGCTTTGTAGAGACTGAAGAAAGGTATCGACTTATTTTGAGCAGAGTCTTCAGAGATAGAGTCTTAACAGCACTCTTTGTTTCCCCCTCTGAATGCTTCAAACTATATTGCTTTGAACTGGCTGGAGAACAAGGTAAATGCTCTCTTTTCACCTTCATATGGCATAAGAGGTGGAGGGGAGAGAAAAGAGAGGAGGAAGGTAGAAGCATCCCACAGTGCCTAGCTAAGCTTCTCTCTTTAAAGGCCAGGAATTGGTCTACTCTAAAGGTGACTGCCTTCACCCTAAAAAAACAGGTGCCCAGTTTGGAGTATTCCTCTATCCAGCATTTAGCCTCTATCCTGAGGCTAAAAGAGCCTGTTATCAGCTTTGGCTGATTTCCCAGCTGTGACTTTTCCTGAATCAGGTCAGCCTGGCCACAGTGGCTCACACACTGGTAACCTCCCAGGTAGATCCCTGCAGTGCTTTTTTTTGTCATAGAACGCACCGGAACAGAGTTCCGGCACCTTTTTTCAACAGATTTTCCAAGTTTTAAAAGTAATTTTTGAAAATTTGATGTTTGATCCACGTGATTTGAATCGCCCTGTCTAGCGTAGCAGGTCAGCGGCAAAATCATTAAAATGGTGCATGTGGGCTGCTTGTGTGTCGAATCCGATGCATGCGTACTTTGTCCGCGCTGGTTGTGATGGTGCTGCTCAGCTTGTGATTGGTCATGTGGTCGTGCGCCGAGTGCTTACTATAGGTGGCGACCATTATGTTTCGTTCCACAACTGACGTGTGTGGGTGTGTGTACAGTGATTGACTACGTGCGAAAGGTAAACAATTTCATGAGTTCCGACACCTTTTTTCTTACAAAAAAAGCACTGGATCCCTGTAATGCCCTGTACATGGGGCAACCCTTGACGACAGCCTGCAAGCTGCAGCCACTACAGAATATGGCAGCCGGAACTATAACCGGTACAGCTGGACGGAATCATATCCAATCATTTCAGAAGGAGGTGCAATGGTTGCCGCTACTAAGATTCACTTAAGGTGCTAAGCCTGGGGCCCAAATATCTGCCTCTTCTTAACGTAGCCTGCCTGGGGTGTCCTTCCGAAAGACTCCTGGGTACATGGTGTCAACAAGGGAGAGCAGTTCCTCAACTGTGGGCCCCGACTATGGAGTAGCTTTCCATGAAGGTGCTGCTGGCACCAGCACTTCAGCGCCAGCTCAAAATCTTTTTATTCACCCAAACATGTTAATTGGTTGATTTTTGGCCATCTGATTGTATTTTCTACAATTGCCTTCTGGCAGCTGTACAGTTCCAGGGCTTTGTTTGTATTTATTGCATTTGCATTATTGTAATTATACTTCTGCACCACCTTGCTGTTTGTAAGATGAACACTGGTTTAAAGAAAGTTTTTAAATATAAAGAGCCACAATCCAGTATTCACTACCTAAAGGCTGATTCTGACCATTCTTTGCAGGGCCATGGTAGCATCTTGACATCAGTGGGCTCAAGTCATATAAGAAGAGGGAAGGTGTAGTACAAATCATCGTACTAAGGTGGGTTTAGAAGAGTTGCCAGAAGAAAAGTACTGCAGATTTAATAGACAACAATATACCCAAAGTATAAAATTCCTCTAATTGACACTAATCGGTCCTGTACAATCACAGCTAGATTCTTTCTTCTACTTGATCACACAAAAGGAGAAAGGTGTAAACTACTCTGAATCCTTTATAAAAAGAAACAAGTGGGACATAAATCCAATATAAATAAATAAATAATATTTCAAACATACACATTACCTACTATTCTTCAAAATGTAGATCTAATATAGTATGGCTTCCACTTTGGTTTGCCATAGAACAAAGAAAGCACTGATCATGTCTCCTACAGAAATAGGCAGACGTACACATGATAGTCTATTAAAATGATTCAGCTGTGACCAGAAAGCAGGCTCTTTCACTGAGATTATCTAGCTGAACTGCAAGACCCAGGAAACACACACAAATATCAGTATCACAAGGCTCCGGCCTCTTAGATCCCAAGCTGCAACAGTGTTTGGTTCCAAACTATAAAAATGTTCTGGCTTAACCAGTGTTCTACAACAATTGCCTACTTATAACAAAGACCTTCCTAATTCTCTCATTCTGACCCTCACATTTTGTGTAATTCAGACTTTAGACAGGCCACATGTAAACAACATCTCAGTTTCTTTTCCATCCTTGAAATAAGACAATAACCACTATTATACCCTACTCACTGGGGAAGCGCTAAACTGCCAGTACTAAGATTAGCCCAATACCAATTTTCTACACATTAGTGCACTTTTGAAGAACACTAATGTGTAGAAAAGCTTGACCAGAAACATCAATTATTTTTCAGAAGGTAGATAGACTGCTCTTATAGAACACTTCATAGGCAGCTAAAACTTTTAAAAGGTGCTTTTATGCATTCTACAATCACAGAAGTATTTAAGGAGAAAGAGAACAGCTGACCAAAAAAAGTATACATTTAAGAACAGTCCTCCCATGGTTTGAGAGGAGCTGGGTATTAAACCACCACAGTTTTGCTGAACATGCGTATAGAATCTGATCTGGAAGCGTTTCAATAAGTGCAGCCTAAGTGAAAGGGAGCAAAGATGGTTTTCAAGGCACAGTATACTTGATTTTGGAAGTCTTACATGGAAATACAGCCACATATGCAAACATGTGTAAAATACATTTCACTTAACAGTGAAATCATGTAAGGAAGAAAACAAGCTCTTCTTCAAATTGCTTATGTACATCCACCCTAGCCTTACGTGCACCTGTAATTTCATAATATGTGAAATCAATACATGCAGAGAGCACACACACGTTATATAATTTCCTAGCCATTCAACATTAGGGGAATGTGATTAATCTTCCATGACATGCACTGAACTTTCCGTTCAGAGAGGTTCTTCTTCCTCCTTCAGTCCTACTGGCAATGGATGTCATTTGACCTGCAGAATTCACTCTGAATCACAATCAGGGAAACAAACACTGACATTATTCCGTGAACCAATTATCTGCCTCAATTTGCTGCTCAAACCCAGAGACTAGTTTGCTAAATGCATAAGAGGAGCATAATGAGAGGAAGGACTGGATAGAAAGGAGATGAAATATCCAAAATTTTGCACTTAAATGAATGCATCTCTTTGATGAAGTCAAATGACACCAAGCAAAAACACATAGAACCAGAAACTAAAATATTATCCATTTGGGGAGTCATTGGAAAGCTAAAAAAAAAGTGAGGAGAGAGAAGTGGAGTGACACACAAGCTTTTAGGAAAGGGCCCTTGTGACAAACAAGCAGAGATGGAGAGAACCTCCCGAACCATTTCCTTTCCCAGTATTTTATCCAATCCCCTCTTCTTTCCCTAGCTGGTTACTAGGAAGAACATGTGCCTAAAGCCCATCGTGTGTTTACACTTCAAGAAACGCATCCTCCCTTCCCTAACCCTATCCCAGGAAGCGTGCTAATTCTCTAGCCCCAACTTAAGCCATGCGCTTAAACCCGCAAAATTCAAGAGCCTGTTTCCTCCCGATGGGGCTTGAATCCAAACCAGGGTTCACCAAAACCTTGGAAAGCTGTGTTACCAAGCCAGGACTCAACTCGGGAAGAAACGATTTCATGATCGTCATCATGAGAAGAAGAAGAGGATCATTCTCCAATGAGGGGGCAATACACGGAATTTGCTTTCTAGGGAGGCCGGAACCCCAGCGACGCTCTTCTTAAAACCACACATTGCCTCCTCCGCTGCCCAAAGCGGGGCGGAAATCCAGGAGCGAGACTGATTCCTTCCTTCCTTCCTTCTTCCTTCCAAGAAAGGCAGTGGCAGTGAATTGGACGCGGGGAGGAGAAGTCAGTGGAGTCTGGATTTGCAAGGGACTATAGGGAGCCCTACGCACTCTGAAGAGCCAGGATGGCGCCCAAAAGCACTGGCTGAAATCAAGCGGAGCCTCGACGTCTCCTTCTGCGCCCGCAGCGCAGCTCCCCCTCGGCCCGTTCCAGGCACCTGCCTATATAGCCTCTGCAGCCGCCCCGGGGACCACGAACTCCCGAGAGCCTGGAGGCGCGCGCGCGCACAACACACACCCGCCCCCCCCCCGCGCGCGCCCCATCTGCTCCGGCAGTCCGACTTACCCACTCCAGCACCCTCAGGAAAGCCAGGGGCTCCTTCACCGCCCGGAAACTCCCCTTGGAAGCGAGCTGCGGGGAAAGAAAGGCGAGGGGTCAGGGCGGCTCGCTCCGGGGCTCTCCCCACTGCGCCCCCGCGGCCAAGCGCTCCCGCGCGGCGGCGCCTCCTCCGCGCGCTCCTCGAGGCGCCCTTACCTGGTCCACGGTCTCCATGCCTGCCCGCCGCTTGGCGCGCAAACTTCGGCTCTGTCGAGGCGGCGACGGCGGCAGCGCCCGGTGCGAGGAGCGCCCCGAGGAGGCGAGAGGTCGCTGGCCCGAGCCGGGGGAGGCAGCCGAGCGCCCGGACCGCGGCGAGGCGAGGCAGAGCTGAGCTCCCTGCGAGCGTCCACGCCCGAGCCGCGCGCGCTGGGCGGGGGAGGGAGCGGAGGGGGCGGGTTCGCCGCTCGGCTCGCCGCTCCGCCGCGCTCCCGTCGCCGGCTGAGGCGCGGCGAGCTGCCCGGGCCGCGCTGGAGGGCGCGGAGGTGCGGCCGCGCCGGCCCTGCCTCGCCAGGTGTCCTCCGCGCAGCGGGGCTGAGGCGGCCGCGGGCGGGCGGGCGAGCGGCGCTCGGCGTGCCGGCACGGGGCCGGCCCCCTGGGAAGCTGCGGCCGCTGAGGAGGCGACAGCGGCCAAAGGGGCAGGAGGGCGCAGCGGGGCTTTACGCGCTCGGCGGCAGCTTTTCCCGCGCAGCGGCCCCGGCCGCGTTGGCGCAAGCGGGAATTCGGCGCAACCCCGCCAGGCTCGCGCTGCCGAGGAGCGGCGCCCGCTTCCCGGCCACTGTGGGATGCGCAGCCCGATCCTTTGTACGCTCACCGGGAGTGCAAGCTCCGTGGGGCGAGCTGTGTCTTTGCATTATTTCCACGGCAGCAGCCCTGCCCGCGGCACTCGCTGCGGCAGGGGTGAGGCACTTAGAGCTCTCGGGGTGCTTGCTGGACTCCAAATCCCATCATCCGGGAGATTGACTGTGCTGCCTGGGATTGATGGGAGTGTACTGTAATTTATATTTATTTATTACATGTTATGCCATTCATTAGTCGTAGCGCTGAGTGATACATGCACAAGAGAAACTTAAAAATTCAAAATACAATAAGAATAATCCAACGGTCACCTAATCAGCATCTAGGTGGCCATAAGATATTTCAGGTTCCTCAATGAGCGGCTGGAAGCAGTTCTCCAACTTCGGAGCTGGGGGTCAGCCTGGATCCTCCTCACCCCCTTCGCAGCTGGTGCAGAAAGAGCAGGGCTACTTCTTTGGGGTCACAAAAGTGAAGAGGCGGAGAGGTGGAGGAGGAGCTGGATCCTCCAGGCTAGGAGGTATCCTGACAGCACCGCAGACCATCCTTTCTCCTCTGAAGGGCTGCAGCTAGACAGCCAAAATCTGTAGTCTAGCTGAATTCCAGACTACAAGGATCAGGGAGGTGAAGATCACCTCGGCGACTTCCCCCACTCAGCACTCAGCGGCTCCAAACTGAGGGCACGGTCCATTGGAGTGCAGCCTAACACAATAAAAATAACCCACCCTACCAATTCAAAACAAAACCAGACTAAGCACCAAGATAAATGTCAGCGGTAGTGCAAATATCTGAAAATGCAGTAACATGATTTTTAAAACCAAAGGTTAAAAGGGCTGGGAAAATAAACATGATGCTGAAAGGATCAAATGTAGATGCCATCCAAGACTGGAATCTGATAATATCTGGATGCCAGAGGTTCCCCACAGCAGTGCTACTAAGTTGCATAAGCAAAAACATGTCCCTTGCCTGTAAGGATTTTACAATCTAAAATATGCAATGGGAAAAGCCACAGAGTGAGGGGTAGACAGGAGGAGGAAGAAGAAAATTTGGGCCATGTGATTTAATATATAAGGTCAATGTTGCTGATTCTTCACACAGGTAAGTCCAATAAATGTTCCCCTTGGTTAAGGCCAACAGGGCTTTTCCCCAGGTACATATATATTAGGTTGTGGCATTAAGATCATGCACATCTTCTGCATATTTGGCCTAGGAAGAAAATCCATAAGATCCTTTTCAGATGTACTCTTGGATGTCCAGAAGTCCTAGAGGTACACTTTTAAGTTGAAACTAGCAAAAGTGTATGGGGGTTTTGAGGGGTTGCCTAACCTTCAGAGAGACCTTCCTTTTTACAAGGCATTTAGTATGTTACTGTTAACCCTGTGTTTTAACTTATCCTTGTCTTTGGGATATCTTAAATATTTTGACTGATGTTGTCATTTTATGACCTGCTGCTGTTCGTGTTTTAAATGTCTAGTGGAGTTTGTTTTGAATTGTAAATATGTTTTTATGCTAGGTGTGTTTTCTCCTGTTAATGACTTCAACTCTTATGAAGAGAGATAGTTAAACTGAAATATAATTAAAAATAAACAAACATATAAGATTCACTTCTTTTGATGAAATAAGTGTGCAGAGCACTGGCCTGTGTAAGTAAGATGACCCCGGGATCCTAGAGCAAATCAAGCCAGAACTTCTCCTGAAAGCAAAAGTGATGACACTGAAGCTTGTGTCATTTGGGCACATCATGAGAAGGCAAGTCACTTGAGAAGATAATAGTGCTAGGAAAAGCCAAAGGCAGAAGAGGAGGAGGAAATATAAGATGGTTTTACGCCATAAAGGAAGCCACAGCCTTGAGTTTGGATGAGCTGAGCACTGCTGTCAAAGGCAGGCCTCTTTAGAGATCATTCATGCATAGGGTCACCATATCTCGGAGATAACTTCATGGCAGGTCACAGCAAAAAATTCATCCCAAAGCCATTACCAGAAAGTCATTAATTGGAAGCACACCACTTGAATCCCAAATTTGGAAGTATCATTTATTCATGTACTTATTTATTTATTGCATTTGCATGGTGCCCCATAGCCAAACGCTCTCTGTTTGAAGTGTTGAATTCAAACACTTGAATCTCAAATGGATCCTCCTTTGGTATGCAGGTGCCAGCTGCTATTCCACTCCTCAAACAAGCTGATGCGAGAAAAGACAAGGTGTGAACAATTGTAGTAGAAAGGAGAGCTATATCTTTATTTCCATTAATTGAATGGCCATATCTCTTAGAGACATGAGAGTGGAATTTCTAGTATTATGTATTTTTCTAAGATGGAAAACTATTCCAAGAGGAATGTATGCAAAGAGTGAGAAAGCAAAATGAGAAGATGTAGAACGGGAGGTTAAGCATTATTTGTTTATTTCCCTATAAACTGCAAAAGATGTGTACAGTAGATAAAAAACAAAAACAGCTAGATAGTCCTCTGACAGGCAGAAACTGCCCAGCTGGCCATGGGAAAAGGCAGGAGGCTCTGCTTTTGCTTTGGAAAAGACTTTGGAGAGTTTGGCAGGGATTCTGCCTGTGAAGGGTCCCTTTCAGTCAAGGCAGCCCTAGGCAAGGAAGGTCATTTTTGAGAGAAGCACTGTGGGGTTTTTCCAGGGTAGTGCTGGAGACACTTCCACCAAATCCAGGTCGTACCTGAACTTGAGGGTGAGGATAGCACTCAATTCAGTGTCTGTAACTTTCTGATTTCACACTTCAAAGGTGCAATCTTATGCATACTGTACTTAGAAAGAAAAAAAAAATCCTACAGTTGTATGCTGGCTGGGGAAGGTGGGACTTGTAGGAATTTTCTGTCTATCCATGGGATTGGGTTCTAAATCATAGAAGCATTAAAACAACACCCCCTAGCTAAAAACACTGGACATTGCAGAATACGCTCAAATTCCAAGTGGTGGCCTCACATTGGCCGGAGTGGTCCTTGTTCTCAGGTGGAGCTCTGTACTGGCCTGCCATGGAGGATCCCATGTGTGTCCCCCAGAGCCAAATGTTATATTCAACATGTGCATGCTGAATGGCGGTGATCACTAGAGTCTAGGCTATCTTGGCATCTAGGTAGTCATCCACCAAAATGATCTACCAGATGGATAGCATTCTAATAATGACACAGGCCTCAGAAGTACACCGCATCCAGCCCGTCTATGGAACATTCTGGGTAAACAGCATGCCAGGCCCTCCTGTCCTCCACGGTTTCCCAGAGTTTACCCAAATTCATGTTCATTGCATCAGTGACACTATCTAGCCAACTCATCCTCTGCCATCCCCTTCTCCTTTTGCCTTCAATCTTTCCCAGCACCAGGGTCTTTTCCAATGAGTCCTTCCTTCTCATTAGGTGGCCAAAGTATTTGAGCTTCAGCTTCAGTATCTGTCCTTCTAAAGCAGGGGTCTCAAACTCACGGCCCGCAGGCCAATTGCCGGGATGGTGGGGCACGGGGGAGGGGCCCTGCGGCCTTCAAAGCACCGGTGGCACCCGGGCCGGCCTCCGGGAGCGACGCGGGATGAGCGGCCCACCACCACCGCTTGATGCGGCCCAGCCTCACCCAGACTCTACTTCCAGCGGCACCCAGGTAAGTTGAGTTTGAGACCCCTGGTCTAAAGAGTCAGGGCTGATTTCCTTTAGGATTGACCGATTTGATCTCTTCGCAGTCCAAGGAACTCTCAGGAGTCCTTCTCCCCAACACCACAATTCAAAAGCATCCATTCTTTGATGCTGAGCCTTCCTTATGGTCCCACTCTCATAGCCATAAGATTATATAGCATTTTATAGTATTTTGTCGTATTGGTTTAGGTACTGCTGTAGACTGCCCAGAAAGCTTCAGTTATTGGGCTGTATACAAAATGAAATAATATCAGAAAACTCACTTGGTGCCAGTAACCCCACCTGGAAGAATGGAAATTAAGGACCCTACCAGTTTGAAAGGATTTGCATTTTCTTTTCCCAGATCATGCCTGGACCATATGAACCTATGAACAGCCATGCTGGACCTGCCTGTCTGGTCCAGCATTCAGTACACACCAGCTGTCCACAAGAAACCTGAAAGCAGGTTGGCCATGAGTACAACATCACCCCCTTGCCCATTTTCCCCAGCAACTGCTGCTCGTAGGCGTACTTCTTCCGATACTGGGGCAGCACAGGGCCTTCGGGGCTATGAGCCATGGTAGTCTTATCCTCCATCAAACTCTCTTATCTCCATTCAAAGCCATTACATCTTGTGGAAGTAAAATGCCATAGTTTAACCATGTGTTGCAAAAAGAAGCACCACCTTTTATCTGTCCCGAATCTCCCACCGATCTGCTTTGTGGAATGACCCTAATGGGTTCTAGTAGTATGGGAGAGGA